CTATTATCATATTTTGTGCGATAATTTTTATTTTTTCCTTGGAGATCTGAAGTCGTCACTCACCATTTCGATTCCAATGCTGATGATGCTTGGGTGGAAGAATTTTTTTTTCTTCGCCGATTTGAGGTTCAGTCAGAGTCACGTTCCGATTTCAACGCTGCCGGAGTTTGTGTGGAAGAATGCCTTTTTTCTTCGCCGATGTGCAGTTAATTTGTCCCCTTTTTTACCAAAAGTTGGCTGCTCCAGGGGACATTCTTATTAAATGCGTAACTCCTTTTTTTCTTTTTTTTTTTCTTTTTTTTTTGTTTGGTTTAGTTTGATTTTGTTACCTGGAAATTAGTATGTCTTTTCTTTGATAATTTTCTATCTTTGTTTATGCTTTTACTTGCATTTGCAGTCATGAAGGGGGTTGTAAACTTGTTGGGTTAACTTAATTTATTGTATTAATTTTATTTCTTATTTGGTTTTGTTTGTTATGGGTGAAGGGAAAAGAAACATGCATCTGATTAACGATGAACGAATAAACGATGACACTCTTGAGTTTGTTGAAGGACCAGAAAATCTCTCTCAAGGTAAGCTCAGCAAACCTACTGCATCAAGTGTTTACGTCTGGAAGTAATTTGAAATCCACCTATCATGCTAAATGCTCTTATGAAAACTCTTTCCAGCTGTGACAATAATTTTTTTCTGCCTGTTATATATTAATCTAGAGGGATTCTGCTCTTGGTCATGGCGAGTACTCAAAGATTGCAAATATTTAACAAGCCAATTGGGCCTCGCAAGGTAAAGTTTAACAATTTTTGTTATATTTAAATAAGGAGAACAATTTTATTAAAGAATGTTCTTTGATGATCCTGATAGAAATTCTTAAGAAAATTTGATATCTTTATGATGAATATCAAATTCATGGGATCTCTGCTTTACGTAATCTATGATTGATATAGATAAGTGGGTAATTATTTTTTTTCTTTGTCTTATTCTGTTTGTTGAAAAATTTGATTTTTGTTTTGAAGATTTTGATGAGATTGAGCTCATAGAGGGTGATTTAAGACAGCTCTGTGGTGGCTGCCGAGGTTGAAATAGATAAGTCTTTTAAAGACGAGTTGTTGGGCTATCAGGCAATCAAAGCAGTTGAGGGAGTTGTTAATTAAAATGGAAGAATCATGGTTCTAATGGCAATCGAGAGAAACATATAGTTGTAGGTGCTGACTGTGTTGAAACTGGAGGGAATTTATGAAGGAAATGGTCGATACTAATCATGTTTCGGGGAAAATCATTTTCCCTATCTCATTCATGTATAATTTACTTCTAAGGGTATGTTTTTCTATACTTTCATAAGAAAAGAAAGCTTGGCACTTCATTGTTGGTTTTAGGAACTTGAAGTGGTGACGTTTTGGAGAATTCCAAGCCTCGCCAATCACTAATTCTGAATTTGACGAACCTGTTTGGGAGCATCATTAATGGGTAGTTCCCATTTTGTGGTTTACTATTTGCCATTTCAACAATTATCCTTATTAGACCCAATTCGCGAATTACTTTTTAATACGGATTGTTATATATTTTGCAGGAGAAAAGAAGGGAAGTAGTAACCATGGTGATTCTTTTACTCTAATAGAACATACTGAAAAAAGAGCGCCAAAAAGTTTAGTGATTCCTTTACTCTCAAAGAACATAGTGAAAAGGAGGGCCAAGAAGTTTAAGAAGTCCCAAACCAATCACAAAATTTTTGTAAGGTATGCTCGGCAAACCTGCAGGCTGCATTGATGGCTGCAGGTATTTGAAATTCACATTTTAATCATTTTCATGTAATCCTACCCCTTTCGCTTTAATTGCATTTCTTTAGTTATAATTAGGAAATTGTGTGTAATCATTGTTTCCTTTCTAACAGTATGTGATTGACGACACAAGTGGTGGATCATAATCGAGTGGAGTTTAAGGTTTTTGAGAAATCTTCTGATGAATGGTGAGTTATTTATTATCTTTTGAGTTACTTTTTGCGCCTGATTGTCTTTTAGTTTTTGAAATAGGTGATTAATTCTTTATTATTAATGAAGATAGGGGCTGTATTGGGAGAAGAACCGAGGACATCTAAAGGGCATTCCACATCAAGTTTGAATGAAGGTCGGATACTTATCTTCCTGGAGGTTCTGCACATGATGACTGCTTTAGGTTTCTTCACGTTTGAGATTGATGGGGCCATTTCTTTAAGTACTTTTGGTGGGAATATGATATTTTGATTCAAAAAGTTGTATTTATAAAAATTTGAAATTTGTAATGTCATGTGAAAAAAATTGAAATACACATGATTTTGCTGGTATGAAAAAGTCTGGGTGCACACAAATATTTCTTTTCAAAGTTCATTCACACACATGATTTTGCTGGTATATATTCCATAATCACATAATCAGGTTGATACACTTTTTGTACAAGAACAGAGAAATAATAAAATGTATTTTTTCCTTTATTTTTATTTAACCAATTTGAAATACAGGCGGTCGTCCGGACATTCGCCCGGGCCAAGCATCTAGTCAATATTTATGGCTAAACCATCTCATCATTATGCCGGGACCAAGTACTTAAACATAGTTGTTAACGAGAAATGCTACGTTGCTAATGTTGCGGAGACTGAATAGTTTAAATGAATAAGAATTTGATTATTATTGTTTAATACCCATAATGGGATTTAATGATACTTTTCTAGCCATAAAAGAAATCTCGGCTCGATATTAAACCTAACTATATTCTACCTAAGATTGAGATCTAACTCAGAAGTTACAACACTTTATTTTGAGAATCTTTTTAGTAGATACGCCAAAACCAAATGATACAATTAATAATAGTATAGTATATAAAGTTGGCATGTCTTAATTAGTACCCATTTCTTTTGACGTAATCATCCATTCATTAGTGAATGCCTAAACACCGATATTTACCAAATCAATGTATTAGACTCTCCATTCATTAACCTTTGCGTAAGTGAAAATTCAGTCAAGAAACTCTAGTATTTCTTTCGAATTTGATCAAGAGATTTTTTTAATAATATAAAATTATATAAAATGTTGAAAAATAGAGCAGCGAATATATTAAACCCTATGATGAGTACGAAAATAAACTTAAGAGAAACTAGTATCCTTATTTAATCCAACTTATCGACGAACTGGAACTTTTGATTTAGCTTTACTTTTTTTCGAGCGATTGTAATATGTTGGAGCAGAATCTTCACTGTAGAAAGACTCTTGTTCCAATTCTTGTTCCGTATCAAATTCTTTATGTTCTGAATCATTAAAAACATGATTTTGTTCTCCTTCAAAATTGATGTGTTCAATCGAATAACTTGTGTTAGAAGACTCTATATTCTTACCAACCTCCGAATCATCTTTGTTAAAGTATTGTCTGCGAGTTTTTTCCGGGGCTGAAATAGGAAGTAAAACCTTGAGAATTGGGACTTGAAGTTTAGGAGAATGTGAAAATTCTAGTGTATCAGGATTTAATTTGTGTTTGGTGCTGATGGCAGAGTTATTTTGAGAAATTATTTTTTTAGAATTGGATGGAGTAAAGTGCAGGAGAGAAGAGTTTGAGTTCAAATTTTTCACATCTAAAATTGGAATATTCGGATGAGATTGTAATAGGAGATTTTGGGGTATTGACTTCCCTTTAGACGCAGAAGATTTCAGGGCTGATTTTGGCAAAGAAGCAATGTGCGCTGGCCTAATAGATGAACCCGCAACGGACGGGTGATCAGGATTGAAAAGATCTTGTGGAATCCGATTACCTTCCTTCGTCGCCGGAGGTTCCCGCCGATCCTCCAAGCTTACCGGCGACTGATTTTTTCCTCCATGGATGATTTCTGTTTGCACAGCAATTGATGGTAGAGAGTGAGGGGAATTGGATTTATCTCCCTCATCCTTGTAGCATCAGTAGCTGACGAAGCCTGGAATTATACCACCGACTTGTCAGTGGAACTCCAGTTAGGGTTTCTTGCAAAAGAGGGCCTCAGGGGTCTCCCGATAGTAGACATTCCGAGACTTAATTCAGTAAAAGGGTTTAAGGAGCACATATGAGTAGTAATTAGTGCTAGAGATAGCATACCCGTATTGTGGTGTGATCAACCCTATTTATAGGCATGAAATTGCCTTGAAGGATACCGAATCCTATTAGGTTTCATGTTCTAGAACCGCTTCTATAAGGTCGGTTGAACCATAATTGGTAGATGGGCCAGTCTAGTAATCCCCGGTGGATATGGACTCATCAAGCGCCACTGTCAAGTGTTACTGATATGAAATAAACAAGACTTGACACAAAAAAAGACTCACCTGGACTCGGCCCAAGATGAGTAGACAAGCCTCGACCTAAACTTTATCGAGAAGCCTAGCGCAAATAATTCACGGGTTTGGATCCGATCCGGGAAGATGAACCGTTCCAGAATCCCACCCAATTTATTTAACCGCGCATTGTAAGTGGGCACGTTCCCCAAACGACAACTTCATCATCATTACCGTCTCCTTGAAACTCGCCCAAACTATCAAGTCGTGGGCATTAACAGCAGGGGATAAAAACCTTCTAGACTTGCTATTTTCTTTTTATTTTGCACAGAGAAACAATTCCTCCCTGTTCTCAAACCATACTTATTGAAAACAAAACTTCCCAATACTCTCTGTTGTGCCCCAGGTAACATCGCCAGAAGTGATTATTTCTGTCGAATCGAGAAGGATTGCAGTCAGAGGAGGCCTTCTCATCTTTTCCAACAAAGATCCATTTGGTTGCTCCACCAAACGACAGCTAGGAATCACCGCTGCAGGAGACTGTTGTAACTCTGGGAGGCTACAATCCGAAAGGGGAGTGGAGAACTATTTCAATAGTAAGTTTCTGGATCCAGTAACCTCAGTTTCGTTTCTGAGTTTTTTTCCCTTCTTTTCTGGGTTTTAATATAGATCGGAGTAGATCTAGGTTGACTACTGCGAGTAGTGTGTATTATAGCTAGAAACCCATATCTAAAAACCATGGACGATTTCGCTTCCACCATAGATTTTGATGAGAAGGTAAACGGTGTAATAACGAGATATGACTTGCCCTTAGACCTAGAAGCTAGAGCCATGTTAGGAACCGAGAGAGCCAATACTCCTCTAGAAGGAAAAATCACCATATATGACTGCTTTATGCATCTAGGGTTGAGATTCCCACTTTTTCCTTTGTTCGAGGAGATTGTTCATCATTATAAGATTCCCTTCGCATGATTCACTCCGAATTTGACAACCTACATTCTCAGTTTTGTGAAAACATGTCAACGAGTAAAAGTAAAATCGTGTCTATTTTCTTTAAAGTATCCATGCCCTCGACAATCGTTCCAAGATTGGTACATTGTGAAGAAGAACCACTACTCAGGCGCCAAGAAGATAGTAGAGGCGTGCGCCGGTTCGCCCATACGGAAACCAAACGCTCTGTATGTAAAGGCGCCTGAGAAGTATGTTGTTGAATGGGATCATCAAGAAACCAATGGATTCGAGGTGATAAGGGATGATTGGACGGATGAAGATAGAGAAAAGATTAAGCGGTTCGCCAAGGAGATAGAGAAATTTGAGAAGTACCCCAAAATAGTTAAATGGGACGCTGTGCAGCACTCTGTTCTTGTTGTTCTTGTCAAGGAGTAAGAAGCTGATAACACTCTCGAGACCCCTGTTTAGGAGAAGAAAGGTACTAATCTCTTTTCATTGCCTTTGCTATGTTTAGGTCATGTCATCGAGCAATGCTGGTTCTCAACTTTATGGTGACGAGGACCCCTTTCATGTTGTGAATTCAGATGAAGAAACATCGACCACAGTAGCTGCTGAAGCCAAGAAGAAAAGGAATAGAAACGTGAAGGGTACCAAAAAGGAGCAAAAAAAAAAACCAAAGACCGATATTCACACAACAGAGTCAGCCGTTGAGGGAGAAAAGACTGTTCTCCTAGTGACCAAGAAAACCAATGTCCTACGGACGTAGCCGGAGCCAAGCAATAAACCTCCTGCCATGGACAAAGGTAAAGGTCCGCTCGAGGAAGAACCAATCATTCTGCCTTTCCACATATTCGAGGGAGGACCAATCGTGCCCATTCATACAGTCGGTGATCTGCCGACAATTGAGTGCCCCTTGTTGGAGGAATTTGCAGCACAGGTGACAGAGACTGACAACCTGAGGCTGGTAAGTACCATATCTCAATAAGTAAATACTCTTGTAAATCTTTTGTTGTTAATACTCGTATTAACCAATAATGTTTGCAGATTAGCGCTGCTTCAATGGCGTACTTGATGCGTTCGAGAGAGATGAGGAAGGAACTGGTCCAGGCACGAGCTGAAAGAGACCAATTGCTAATCGAGAAGGTTACTCTCGAGAAGAAGGCTCAGCAAGTGGAGGCCATGGAGCAAGAGCTAGCCTCTGTGTAGGCCAAGTATAATGAACTGGACGAGAAGCTCAAGGAATATGGTAATATGCATATCTCAAAGGAGGACCTTCACAAGTGGTCTGCTGCTTTCTGGTTCAAAATGCTATCTACGGGTGGAATGGCGGCGGTTATCAAGGAAATTAACATGGCTGCCACAGAGTACGGTGGCCATGGAGTTGCTGTTGCCGGTCTCAGGAGGATTAAAAGTGAGAAACCTATTAAGGCCAAGTGGTTCAAGCAGTTCCTGAAAAAGAACTCGAAGAAACCCATGCATGAAGCGCTGGTGAAGGCTATTACTAACTTAAGTATCGAGCAGCTGCTTCTGTGGGAGTTGCTTTGCATGGCTTTGGCCAGAATGAGCGTTCCTGGGGATGTTGGTGCATTTCTGGGTGATACCGCAACTGTCTTAGCTCGAGGGCCTGGCAAGGAGTTATCAATCCCTGAAATTTCTGAAGAGTATATTGGCATTGAGCTCGAGGACGGGGATGATGTGGCCTCAGAGGAAAAGGATACTGGCAACTCTGGTACCAAGAACAATGATCCTCCCGTCGGGGGAAACACTGGTGGGGCTAACGGAAGCACTCGTCATTCCCATGAAGCTGTATGATTCTCTTCCTTGTAATAGTTTTGTCTTTAGGAAGTAGTTTAAACAATGGTTTCTTGTCAACAGTTCATATTTCTTTTGACATTATGAATGGATGCTTGTATTTTCTTTCATAATTTGTTTTTGGCCTTGCACATTTTCTTTTAAAACAGGATAGTTGGCCTTTCCACCGGATCCACCTTATGATTCTATCTAAACAATCGAGAGACTACCCTTTATACTCGATGATCAGCCATATCATGAGAAGTCGAGCAGTTATCCATAGTATCGAGACAGTGATGAACCTGAAAGTAGACCTCCTCGACGCCATGCGCGCGCACAATGTGAGAGTTAACCAGCACCTGATTGACGAGATCAAAAATCTTTGTGAAGAGATGCAACGGTGAGACTACCAGAAAGATAAGGATTATAGTGATTCGTTAACTTTCGAGACTGATATTCATGACGAATTGGTTGCGTTGCAGAAGGAAAACACCCAGTTGAGGCAGAATCAACGGATTACCATATCACCATGGTTTCTCGAGATGCATTACGTACTCACCCGGGTACAGCATATGATCTTGATTAGGACTCACCGATTCATTTAAGCAATGGATATGCTAAAAGAAAGAACTCGTTAAATTGAGCTCATATGGAATATATAAACGAGCTCCGGAACTTAATGTTGGATCACAATATTGGCTTCTCAAGCTTTGAGAAGCCCAAGGAGGTGACAGACCCTCGGACCAGGACTTCCCGAGAAGAATTCCTTTTAAGGATCCACGCCCAAGACGAGGAGATTATAGATCTTAAGGACAAACTCAACCAATGTGTAAACCTCCTCAGCCAGCACGGGTTTAGAGGCATCATTTGTGCTTCTCCTGATAATCCACGTAGGGAGGTTCTTGTAATATTGTAGGAAAACATGTATGTTTCCTAGAACCTCACACATTGTGTGGAGGTAGCAAATGTGTAAATGCTTTATAAGACTCAAGTTTATTATTTATATAGCGCTTTTTGACTGGATGTAAAGTACTCGGCTCTCTTGAGAGAACTGGGTACGAGTTCCTCATTTTAATACCGCGATCTGCAGTGGGTACGAGGAAAATTTCTCTAATTTTGTCTGGATGTTGAATACACGGCTCCGAGTGAGGATGTCCCTAAAAAAGGGAGTTCATCTCGAGGACTAGTCATAAAAATGTGGAAAATGTGAAAAAAATGTGCAGTGAATTTTATTGAATAATTACCCGAGGACCCGTATTAGCATTACATATGAAGAAGTAAAAATAGCAAAGCGAATAAAGCAAGTAAAACAAGTAACCTAAACTCGCATGTAACAAATATTGGCTTAAACATAGAACCTGCGAAGGTTCTGAATGTTCCACCATCTAGGGAGGATGATTCCACTGTCATCTGTGGTTTGTAGACAATAGCTACCTGCTGGAGAGGCTTGAATGACTTTGTAAGGTCCTTCCCAATTTGCATTGACTTTCCAAGGAGTCTCTGCTCAACTGGCTTCATTTTTCCTAAGTACAAGATCCCCCACAGCGAGATCTGTTGTCTTGACTTGCTTGTTGTAGTGTTTCCTGAGGATCTCTTAGTACCTTGTCTCTTTGATCCTAACGGCATCCCGTCGTTCTTCGTGCAGGTTGAGATTCAGCCTGATATCATCATCGTTAGTGCTCTCGACAAAGTTAATTGTTCAAGGACTTGCCAGGCCTATTTCTACTGGGAGAACCGCATCCATGCCAAAGACCAAACTGTAGGGAGTTTCGTCTGTCGAGGAGTGGGCAGTAGTGCGGTATGCCCACAGGATGTAGAAAGTTCCTCGGCCCATGCTCCTTTGGCATCGTGTAGCCTGGTCTTGATTCCATACTGTATGGTTGTGTTAATCAATTCTGCTTGGCCATTAGCTTGGGGGTGAGCTACGCTCGAGAAACGGTACTCAATTTGCCTTTATTCGCACCATGACTTGAAGGGGTTGCTTTCTAATTGGGTTCCGTTGTCAGAGATAATGACCCTAGGAACTCCAAAGTCACAGACGATGTGTTGCCAAAAAAAATCCAGCACCTTCCTTCCTGATATTGAGGCCAACTGCTTAACTTCTACCCACTTAGTGAAGTAATCTATTGCTACGATTACCCATCTTACTCCTCCTACCCCTTTTGGATGAAAAGGGTCAATGATGTCAGTGCCCCATTGATAGTAACGGGCAAGGGCTTTGAATGGTGATCATCTCCTGCTGTGGTTGTCGAGTAATGGGAGAAAAGCACTGACATCAATCACACTTTTGTACAAACTTGTATGCATCCTTGAAGACCGTGGGCCAAAAGTACCCTAAACGCAATACTTTCTTAGCTAGTGCTCTCGTTCCCATGTGTGCTGCACATGATCCCTCGTGTATTTTCTCGAGGACATAAGCCGCTTGTTTTGGTCCAATATATCGTAGCACGGGTACCAGGTACCCGTGCTTATACAAGACCCCGTCTCTCAAAGTGTATTTGACACCCCATCCCATCTGTTAGATATTGAATAAACGGAGTGATCCATGTGTCTTCATTTTCAGTAATTGTCGTTATGGGAACCTTCTAAATACTAGGTTTGGGGAGGATCTCGACCCAAACCTTGTGACTAAGATGTGTGAAGTTCGAGGAAGCCAACTTGCTCAATGCATCCGCTCTTTTGTTTCTTGATCGTACAATGTGGGAACTAATGCACTCCTCAAACTTATCTTTAACTCGAGGATCCTCTCGAGGTAATATTTGAGCTCCTCATCATTTGCGGTGTAATCACCTATGATTTGATTTACCACTACCTGAGAGTTACTAAAAACTTGAAGCCTTTGAACCCCAGCTTTAGAACCATATTCAATCGTACTATCAACGCTTCATATTCAACCACATTTTAGCAACTGGGAAGCCGAATCTCAGTGCGTAGGTGTACTCCACATCATATTCTTTAATGCTCTTGATCGCAGGATCAGCCGATGGCTTCGCCAGTATGATACCAGCTCCGTCCCCCTCATCGCAACGAGAGCTGTCGATGTATAATGTCCAGGCTCGAGGGTTAACTGTAACACGTGTGGTCGGGTGACTCTTAGGCGCTGCAACTTCTGGAATATTAGCAGTTTGGGCATCTCCAGAAGAAAATTTGCGAATGCTTGACCTTTGATTGTCGTTGTCGGCTTGTACTCGATATGGTGTTCCCCCAACTCGACTGCCCACTTCATCATTCTGCCGGAAGCTTCTGGCTTGCGAAGGACTTGCTGAATGGGCTGTTCTATTAACACTCTAATGGGATGTGCTTCAATGTACGGGCGCAAGCGTCGAGCTGACGGTACTAAACTCAAGATGAGCTTTTCCATGGGTGTGTATCGTGATTCTGCCCGTTCTAACACTTTACTGACGAAGTAAACAGGGATCACCTTGCCATCCTTGTTTTGGACTAGGACGGCTAATATGGCTTATTCTCAAGCAGCAAGAAACACGTGTAGGGTTTCCCTTGGTTCTGGTTTGGCTAAAATAACTAGCTGTTTGAGATTCTCCTTTAGTTGTTGAGAGGCTTTTTGGCAGTCCTCGTTCCACTCGAACTTTCTGCCTTTGCGGAGCGTGCGAAAGAACGGGAGGCTTCTATCTGCCGCTCGAGAGAGGAACATATTTAAGTCATCTAAGGATCCTATGAGCTTCTGAACTTTCTTGACACTCTTTGGGGCTTCCATGGCCAGGATAGCCTTGATTTTTCGTAGATCAACACTGATTCCATCCTGGGAGACGTGGTACCCTAGGAATTTACCCGATCCCACGCAGAAGGCGCATTTCTTTGGATTGAGCTTCATATTAATTTTGCGGAGAACAGAAAAGATCTCGCTCAAATCCTTGATAACTTGCTCGTCTCTATCACTCTTGATCACTATGTCATCCACGAATATCTCGATATTTTATCCAATCTGGTCATGGAACGCTTGGTTGACGAGGCGTTGATAGGTTGCGCCAGCGTTCTTCAAGCCTAAAGGCATCTTCTCATACCTATATACCCCGATCTCGGTAATATAAGCTATCTTTTCCGCATCTTCTCGCGCCATGAGGATTTGGTGATACCCTTTATAGGCATTAAGGAAACTGAGGGTTCTATACCCTGTGATACCCTCGACCATCTGATCTATGACTAGTAAGGGATAGCAATCCTTGGGGCAGTGCTTATTGAGATCCATGTAATCTTGACACATGCACCAGGAGTTATCAGGTTTCCGTACCAAGACCGGATTAGTTAACCAAGTTGGCCAGAGGACTTTGCGGGGGATGTTAGCGGGAACCAGCTTTAACGTTTCCTCATTGATGACGTCATTGCGATCTTGAGCGAATAATCTTTTCTTCTGTTGCACAGGTTTGACATTGGGATCGACGTTCAGGTTATGTTCAATGACGTCTCGTGGTACTCCTGTCATGTCAGTAGGTGACCAGGCGAATATATCGCCAGCAACGTTCTCTGCAGAGATGTCCCTATCTGGATGGTCTTGGAAGGATCCTTCTCATTAAGAACTAGTTCTTGTGTTTTGCTACTGACTGGTGGTAGATTACCAGCGTCATGATCTTCTGACTGTGGGTGTGTCGTTGTTTGTTGGATTGAGTAGCATCATGACACAGCAGTGCTTGTGTTAGATTTTATGGCCTTCTTTCCAGTCTTGACTGTTGTGAGTAAACATTCTCGAGAGTTGCGTTAGCATCCTTGCATCACTCGAACTCCATAGTCTATTAAAAATTTCATCACCAAGTGATAACGAGACTAAATTGCTCAAGCTCGACACATCCATGGTCATCCTAGAATTATATTGAATGGCGAGGGTGCATCTATTAAGGCAAAATCCATGGTTAATGTAACCATACTTGGATGCGACCATACCATGATGGGGAGTCTTACGATTCTTGTCGAAATAATGGTATGACCTGAGAAGCCCATCAATGGTAATGTTGCGGCGACGGTATCGGGGTTTTGGATGTTCATATTCTTGAAGCAATCAGTATATA